TACACATATCATCCCATGATTGGTTTTCTCGAATTGGCCTTGCTTGATTATGCGCAACCCCAGGTGAGTTTTTTTTTAGTTGACTGGAAATAAATTATTATGGTGGCTCGATCAGCTAGCGACAAAAGGGACTAGCGAGCTTCATCCCCACTTGTCGCTACCGTCTAGGATGACCGAAGATCCCAAGAATGACGCTTGAAGCAAACGTGGCCATAGCGCGGTTCAGCTGATAGCTCGCAGAGTAGTGATGAGATGTGTGCCGACCGTGGTGAAACAAGCGAAGCAGCTCATGCTCGTAGAGTACAGAGGAGATGAGCTGGGTGAGCAGACCTTTTACACATCTGGCCAGGAAGAATGCAATAACATCAAGTTGGAGCAATGTATTGTGCATAAACATAAACCGAGTGTGTCATGTCTTCCTAGATTATCTAGACAATCTGTGTAGGGTTGCAAAGCTGGATGCATTCGCATGCTTGGAGCATCTCTCATCTGAGCTGCATTTTCTTCCTGTTATTCGTTCAGCTATCTCTACTACAACAGTGCGTCTAGAATTCCTTTTTCGGTCAGAAATGAAAATTAGCAAGTAAATTCGAAATTTGACGCTCGGCAATTGCTCTTTTTTCAGTTTTACGAAGGCTTTTTCGATTTCTACAAAGAAGGCGAAAACAGAACAATAAGTGTAACACCGGTCAAAGGCGAAGAAATAGTACTGTACTTCGGTAAACCGCGACTTGATTCGACCAAAATGTACATATCTTGCGAATAAATTATTCGTAGAGGCGCCTCATTCATTTCTTTTTGAATTTTTTTGGGGAATTTGGTCACAGAAGAAAATGATGGGGAAGGGGAGGGAAGAAGGGGCGAGAGGTGAAGGGGAGGGGAATGCCACTGCGTCTCCATTGCCTTGTTTTTTTATATTGCATAGTTTTACGTCTTCAGCTCTTCCATCAAAAAAGCGTGAATATTTTTTATGCGTTTTTGTCGGGCAACGCTACAGAGCTACGACAGGCAGCAGAACGCATACTGCAACGAACCTGCGTGTGTGTGTGTTCGTCTATCTGGGTATTTCAACTTGCCAGCCACGCAGACTTTGAAGCTGAAATTTTACCAGTGTATTCCCGGCCAACTGTCACCCCGCGATCGCGGTACCAATCCTCAAGCACGTCAGAGTCCCACGTATGACAACGTGAAAGTTTTGATGGGAGAATTGCTAACTTGGGGACGAGAAAAGCTAAAAAACTGAAACTATAGGAGAATGTCCCCTGCCCATGTGTGACTAAAAGATTTCAAATCCAACTGCCCAGGACTGCCCGGGATTTACCTATGGGCACGTGAAGATTTCGTGGAGAGATTGATTACTCGAGAACGAGAAAAGCTAGAAAGCTGAAACTTTAGGGGAATATTCATTGTTCATGCACGATAAAAACCAGCTGTTTAGAAGCGCCCGGGACTCACGTACGGGCACGCGAAAGTCTTGACGGCGAAATTGCTGACTCGGGTATGAGAAAAACTGGAAGACTGGAATTTTGAGGGAATCTTCCTTACTCATGTGCGACTAAAAGACTTCAAAAAAAAAAAAAATTCAGCTCCTCTAGTGGGATCTTTTTCGCGCACCAACAACATTCCACTTCTCGGGTTACTGAAGCCGGCATCTACAAGGACATGCCACGTAGTTGCACTGTTAAATTTCTGAGCTTCAAGAGTCAGTATGTCACAAATTCTAGCTACTGTGATTCCTTGCAACCTAGCTGCAGCACAGAATAGTGCAAAAACGCATGATCGCATGGGATTGCCCGGTGCGTTCCAGCCAGGCTTTTATTTTACGTTCTTTCAAAATAACAAATGTGTCACACAAAGTTTCAATGAATTAAAAAAACAGCAAAAGCATAATACTGGAAGACAAAGTGAAACAAAGCACCAACAACAGACCCCGAGGCCACAAAATGGCAATCAGCGCTTGTTCGGCAACATACCAGCATTGCCGGAGAAACATCACACTTACTCCAGAACAAGCGAACGGGATAAAAAACGTAGAAATGATTGGCTGCCCGGAATCGAAAATTTCAATATTATACCAATTTCAGCGTACTTTTTCATTGTGTTCGCTCAGACAATTAGCGACATGCATCGGGTGGACGGTCATGCGACTTGCAGTATTCCGTGCTATTTTAAGATCGCTTGAAGTTCCAGTGGCCAGAATTTACGGCATATTGGTTTTCGACTTTTAGGAAATTAATTGTGCAACTACATGGTACTTAGACAGGGAATTTCCCCTTAAAATTTCAACTCTTCCCTGGTCCTCGAATTGGTAATTTTCTTGCCGAAAACTTTTGTGCACCCGTATGTGAGAACCACACATACCTCGAGGGTGAAACTGAAAACTTTAATTTATACGTGAGCTGTGAAACACCCCCTTTAAAATTCAGCCTCCCAGCTTTCCTGATTCTCGAGTTAGCCATTTTTCCGTTAAGAATTATCACTGGGCCGTACGTGATAGCCATATATGCGTGGGGCTGAATTTGAAATCTTTGAGTTCTATGTGGACGGAAGACATAACCACAAAAATTCAGCTTTCTAGCTTTTCTGGTTCCCGAGTTAGCGATTTCCCGCTAAAACTTTCACGCGCTCGTACGTGGGGCCTAGACGTGCATAAGGCTTGGTGCCGTGGTTCTGGGGTGGCACTTGGTCGGGAAACCCACTGGCAAAATTTTGGCGCCGCAATTTGCTTGTTTGCCGAGTTGAAATACCCGGACAGACGCACACACATACGCACACGCACACCAAGGTCGTCACAGTATACGTTCTTGCATTTGCATTCACGCGAAAACGCATAAAAACCATTTAGCGGATATCAGTTCGCTTTTATACTGCCATGGCTATAAAATTCTAGCAATTAAACCACGCCAAGATATCATTAGAATTATCACATTTCGCTCGTTAGTAGCCAATTTTTATTCAACAAAACCGATTCAGTTAGAAAATATGCACAGGCTCATTTCATATACAGGAAACAAAATGATTGCAGAAACTTTTATTATTCATTAGGAAGTGGATTTTGATACAAAGTGTTCACAGAAATCTCCATTATTTGTAGAGCAAACGAAATTTGTTATAAAACCATCATAACTTTTTATTATACACTGCGTGCCACATCACAATCCGTGACACATCGATATCAGTGGAATCTTTACGGTGTTAATGAAGCGCATTGCTATTAAATTGAACTTTATATCCATGATTCATCAGTATGCAGATTTTTGGATCCTCCTTTTGCCTACAACCACTTTTTCGCCCTTTAAAAGGGA